ACCCACCCACAGGGAGTGGGGTTTCGGGGAGCTGGGACTGGAGTGTCTGGGCCCAAGGAGCCTTGATATCTTCCCTCATTTTACAGAGGGAAAGCTGAGGCCGGGAGGTGGGCAGGGCTCACCGCAAATGAGGTGTAAAGGGGAACCCTGGGCTCCTGTTTCAGTCCTGAGGCCGATTCCAGGGGCCAAGGACATCCAGGCTGCGGCCTGTGTGAGACAGTAGAGATGGGCGTTTCCACCTGCCATAGCAGAAATGCTGCAGACCGGGCGGCTTATACCACAGACATTTATTTCTCATAGTTCTGGAGGCTGGAAGTCCAAGTTCAAGGTGTCAGCAGGGTTGGTTTCTCCTGAGGCCTCTTTCCTTGGCTGGTAGACAGCTGTCTTCTCGCCTGCTCTTCACCTGGCCTCTGTGCTTGGCCCCTTGTGTCTCTGTGTCCCAATCCCTTCTTATAAGAGACTAGAGGCCCAATGCACGAAGATTTGTGAAAGAATAGGGCTTCCTTCCCCTGGCTGCTGGCACCACCTTCTCTCTGGCCAGAGCTACCTTTCTGCCTTCCCACACTGCCCAGAAGCCCGGAGCAGCTGGAGTGGTACCAAACGCCTGCATCCCGCTCCACCCCTGGCCACTTGGTGCCTGCATATACAAACTAACCAGCCATATTTGTTGAGTTAATTTGCATACTCACTTGATTGGCTGGTGGGTGTCATGAAGGAATGGTCAATAAACACGTTACTCTTTCATTAGGTACATTGGGTTATTGTATTAGGGCCCACCCTAAAGGTCTAAATTTACTTACTTACCTCTTTAAAAGCCCTATCTTAAATAGTCACATTCTGAGAGAGGATCACGGCTTCAGCGTACGAATTTTGAGGAACACGATTTGGTCTATAACAGTGGGTGTACCTTCCTAGTGAGTGGGGCACTTTCTGAGAACTAGGACTGGACCTGAGCCTCTGCATGGCCTGTGGGGTCTCTGGGTCTATTGTCCTGCCTAGAATGGGTTCCCAGCAACTGCCTCTTCCCCCTGACTACACCCCATTCCTCTCCTTCCCCTCACCTCCAGGCCGGGGTGGGGTGGACAGGCTGAAGAGTGCGCAGTGAAGTGTAGCTGTGTCCCTTTGCTCCTGGGTCATGCAGGTCCCTCCTGAGAAGGTGGAGCCTGCCCTCCACCACAGGCTCGGCATGGACAGGAGGGGCTCTAAGTCCCCGCCCTCCTGAAGTTCACAGTTTACAGGGAAGATGGAAAAGCTCCTTGTTTTAGATGTCTGATTCAGCACAGGTGGAAAACGTACTGAGAAGGAAAGGAACACAGTGTTGGAGAGCTGAGGGGTCAGGAAGGGCGTCCCTGAAGAAAGGATTGGCCAGAAGAAAGGGAGCAATGGGGAGGAGTGTTCTACATGGATAGAAAAGCACGTGCAAAGGCCCTGTGGCCTGGTGGCTGGACTATAAGGGATAAGGGATGGGTCATGGGCCCCCACGACTGAACTGTTGAATCCAGAGTCTGTGCTTACATTGGAGGTCTCTGAGAGCTGTGAGCAATGGTGTGACACCTTCAGGTTTATCATCCGGTCCCTCAGGATGCTGGGAGGAGGACGGAGGTGGGGAGCAGCAACACTGGTGTGGGGAGACCAGCAAAAAGACAGGCTGACATCCCAGCAAGAGACAGGCTGCCGCCTGCGTTTCCACCTGCTGTCATTCCGATTCCTTTGATTTCAGGTCTGATGAGTCATCTGTGAGTCATCACACCCACATTGATTGCTGTGTTTTCCTTTTTAACAATGAGCTTGTTTTTAACCACTGAGCCATTATGTGACGGGCCAATGGATTCCCCCAAATACAGCCCTGGAGAAAATCTTCAATGCCATTTAACAAAAGAGTCTCCAAACTCCATTTAACAAAAGATTCTGCACAGCACGGCTGTCACGGTGTACGCTGCTCAGGGCTGTCATGAGCTGGCCCAGGAAGGGCTGGGTTTGGGATGAGCGTGACTCTGGGCAGAGTGGCCTGGCCCAGGGCTCAGCATGACAGTGACCGTGTGGCCATGTGCGACCCGCCCCTCGCTGTGCACAGCCCTGGGGCAGAACCCCCACATTATGCGGGCTCACAGGGTGGCCTCCTGCTGACCAGGGTAGGCTTCCATCTCTGTAACATGTTAACCATTTGTTGATGTGCTGCGGACTCGCCCACCGGCTAAGATGAGGCCCCAGGACTCCCTTTGCTGGGGATCTGCTGAGGGGAGTTAGGTGGTACCACCACATACAGGGCTTCCGTTTGCATGCACACCCATCCTCATGGCAGAAACCGGGCACAGCCTTCTCCTTCTGCCTCATCTCCCCCATCTAATTCCCCAGTTCCTCCCCCACCTCCTGAACATTCACCTCTTCCTCTCCAACCCCCTTTGTCTGCCCTGGTTCAGGGCCCCAGGACCTGCTGTCTGTCCTCCCACCCCCCACTCCCCGCCCCACCTCCCTGCCTACCCCCAGCACTATCTATACCACCTAAGAGCAACATGGTCTCCTTTCTCCTTTCCTGTCTACTTCACTAACTTACACTTACCTCTCAAGACTCAGCTCAAGGGCACATGCCCAGGTTGTGACTTGATCCCCAGTGGGGGGTGTGCAGGAGGCAGCCGATCAGGGATTCTCTCTCATCATTGATGTTTCTATCTTTCTATCCCCTCCCTTCCTCTCTGAAGTCAATAAAAAATAAATTTAAAAAAATCTCAGCTCAGAAATCACCACTAAGAAGCCCCATGACCCTTGGGTGGGGTCAACTGCCTCACCTGGGCTCTCAGCCTCATCAGTCTTCACCCAGGTGTTGCAATGTCTGTTGGGAGCGTGTCTCTCTGTTCAAGCCCCGGGCAGCCAGACGGGGTGAGAGCAGCTCCTCCTCGGGGGGCTGGGTGGGGCTGCTCAGGAAGGAGGGCAGTCCTAGGCGTGCTCAGCGGCTGCCAGGGGTCAGCGCAGACGCTGGCGTGGAAATAAGCCACAGAGACCCTGGGGCATGGAAGAGCCCGGGGTACGTCCTGCTCCCTCCTGCCCGGAGGGTTTGCTCATGGTTTCACTCAGCGAACACCAGCAGACCCTGCCCCTCCCCGCCACACCCTCCTGGCAGGCCACGCTGGGCATCTGGGGCCTCGAGGGCCCCCTCGTCCGGAATTGGAACCAGGTCTGGACAGGACAGGGTGAGAGGCTCTGCCAGGGGCCGCCGGTGAGGGTGAGATGGGGGCATTTTGAACCCTCCTCCAATTCCAGGTCAGGAGGGACCTGGGCTTCAAAGTAGTAGAATTTCAGAAGTGGCTGCCCAAAGGGGCTGGCTCCCATGAGCAGATGCTACCCAGGACATCGGGGCCTGAGCTCCTGGCTGCATCTGACTGCTCTGTCTGTGCCTGGAAGGGGATAATGTGCCTGGTGGGGTGCAGGCAGGAGAGGGGAAAGACCACCTGGAGCCAGGAGTGCAGGGTTTGGAAAGTGTCTGCCCTTTCCAAAGTGCTCTCTGAAGTGTCTGCCAGGGAGGGAGCACTATTAAACCCACAGAAATGGCTTAGTAGCTGGTTCCTGGCCCTGCAACACGTGGGTTTTCCTAGGGCCTGTTAGGAGGTGGGAGCACCCCAAAGAACAGCTAGGCCTAGCATTCACGGGGACAGGCTCAGGGCAGCCCTGGGCTGGTGGCGGTGGGGTGGACAGAGCACCGCCCGCTGGATCCCATGCGTATATGCTCCTTTTTAAAAAAAATCAGCACAGCACCATGCAGATGGGAAAGCCAGACAGCGTTTATTCACCTCGAAAGAGAGGGCGCCTGTGCCCGCAGGCCCCGCGAGCGCCACAGACAGTCTAGTGTGGCCACGGTATATGGGGCCAGGTGGCCGTGTTTCTGCATCTAGAAAACGGTGGGGGCTGTGTGGATCGGAAAGCACGCAGCGGGCCCTCAAGTGGGGGCGTGGCTGCTCATCACTCTGGCTTGGTCAAGATGGCGCCTGGAGCCCTGACCACCAGAGACCCTGCTGAGTCACCAGGCGGGAGCCCTCCGCCCAGTCTGGGAAGAGCAGTGAGCCTGCGGGGCTGTGCGGCAACAGCTGCGGTGCACTGGCGCCCTCGTGTGGCCATGGCGGGGACCACAAAGTTTGTGGGCCAATGGAGGCAGGGGAATAAAGCCTGTCCTCCAGTGAGGGCTGGTCATGGTACCCAAAGAGCCATTGGGGTGGTTGTCTGGGGGGAGGGTGAGCTCCAGGGTATGTGACAATCTGAGGGCGTGACAGGGCACATCTGGGCATGTGGTCATCTGAGGCCCAGAGCAATGAGTGAGCTCCCCAAGACGTGCCTGAGGCCCCCTGTCTAACACTGTGCACGGCATGCAGCTGGCACGCAACGCACTTTTGTGGAATGAAAGTGAGTAGATCTGTGTGTGCAAGGGGGTTGAAAGCGGCGTCCCTAATCAGTGGCCAGCTGGTCATACATGCATCTACGCTCCGTCTGACCTCCTAGCCACCCTCAGGAAGGGCCTGTGCCCAGGGACCACAAAGGGGCCTTTGGAGACTTCACTGCAGCCCTAGATACTGGCAGGTGGGACAGAGGGACCGGGAGGCGCAGGCCTCACAGCCTCAGTGATGGGCCCAGTTCAGCTCCCTGCACTGGACAGAGCAAGGCCTGCTCCTGGGGCCTGGCAGTTCCCGGTCAGGGTGGCCTTTCCACGTTACCTCCAGCCTCAACTTGCAAGGGGTAGGCGTGGAGGTGGGGGCTGGGTACCCAGCCTGACCATAGCCTTCGCCCAAACTCCCCTCATACAACTTCAGTTGCCTGGGGGGCAGGAGGCGGCAGGTGGGGGCCCGGGGCAGAATGGGAATGCATTCTGGTGGCTAGTGGTGGGGTTTCAGGGAAGACGGGGGTCGCGGGGAGGGGAAGTGTGATGGGGTGGGCCATGTGGGTGAGAAGGAGCACTGTACCCTGTCTCCCCCTCGCCCCCGCCCAGCGCCCCATCCCCAGGCACGCAGGCCAGGCTAGGGACTGAGGCTGGGGAGGGGGTCCAGGCCGGGCTCGCAGCCCACGGGCAGGGTGGCCACTTCGCTGGGCGGGATGTGGTGGGTCATGTAGCGCCTGCCCCTGAAGGAGCCGATCCGAAGCTGCTCAGGGACCTCCTCGGGCCACCACAGGCTGGAGCTGGACGGGGAGAGGAGGGGCAGCGGTGTCAATGCTGGGTGAAGCTGGTTGCCACATCAGGGCCTCCTCCCCGCCCCACGTCTCTCCCCCTGCAGCCTCTGGTCTCCCTGTCCTCTCTTCTAGAACAAGCCAGAGGCCTGCCTCCTCCAGGTGGCCACCCTGATTTCCCCAGCGTCCGTCCACTGAAATGACAGGTGGGTTCACTGGAGAGAAACCGAGGCCCCGGAGGACAAGGGCCAAAGCAAAGGGTGTGCTGAGGGACGGGGCAGAGCCGGGAGGCCCCTTCTCTGAGCCTGTGGCTAGAAGAGCCGCTGGAGCCCTCTCCCACCTCCCAGGGAAGAGGCTCAGGTGGGAATTCTCTGCTCAGCCCCAGGGACCCGTCCCAGCTCCAAACCACAGGGTCAGGGAGGCTTTCCAGGCGCAGGGGGCAGGGAGCGGGGAGGGGTTCCAGGTGGGAAGGGGTCCCGGGAGGGCCCCCACTCACAAGCGCACAGTGGAGGCCGCCAGGAAGGCCAGCAGCAGGAGGCCGGCCAGAGAGGAGAGGATGGAGGTGATGACAATCATGCCACCGCTCCGCCGCCCCGGCCACGTGTCGATGGCGCCTGGAGACGTCCCTGCACGCACAGCGATGTCAGAGGCTGCCCTTGGACCCCGGGGCCGCCGCCCTCACCCGTGCTCATACCCAAGGCTGGGCTCTCTCATCCACACACGCCTGTCCATCTCAGAGGGGCATCTGTGCCCTGTAGCCTGGACCACCCATTGCTCCAGCCTCCACCCTGGTCTCACCTTCTAGGCTGTTCCCACCAAAGGGCCCACCCTGGCACACCCAGACCTGAAACCTGGCCATGTGGCTGCCCTGCTCCCTGGAGCCTGGCATACAAGCGCCCGCCCCTCCCGGCTCCTGCAGCCCATCTCCCAGGCATCGCCCACACGGACACACAAGCGGTGTCCTCGGCCTGGTGCCTCCTGCTGGGGCCCAGGTGAGGGAGCCTCCTAGAACCTGGGCCCTGCTGGACTGCCCTCCTTGCTTTGGCCCTTCTTCTCCCCCCGCAATGGGCCCAGGCTGGCTCCCCATAGGAAGGGAAGGCTGCTGCTGCCCATGACTGAGCTGGGGCCTGGGCCGCCAAGAGTGGCAAATGTGGGGTTAGGCAGAGCCAGTGCCCAGCCCCAGCACCAGTGTCTGTGTGGAGGCTTTGCCGGATTTGAATGCTGCCAGCAGGCACCCAGTCCCACAGCAGCGGGGGTGGGGGATCGAGGGGGATGGAGCGGGCAGCTGAGCACAACCATTTCCCAGAACATAAGGGACAGGCTGGAGCCAGGACACCCCTCCCCAGCGCTACCTTGGTGGAGAGTGATGGGGTCAGACCATCTGGTCTCGGCCTGGGGTGAGCCCCCAGCGTCCATCAGGAGGAACTTCACCCTGGGGAGAGGAGGAGGGGTGAGGCTCGGAGCCTCAGCTGCCCTGGACAGGGCGCCCAGCACAGCCGGACTCTAGGCAGCTCTTCTGGGCTGCTGTGAGCCTTGGCCCTGTGGGGAGTACGAGCTGGGGCTACAGGCCCCCCAGGGGGAAACTGCTGGCCCCATGGAATCTCTGAAACCATGGAAGACCGAGCCCCCCCCCCCCACCCAATAGGGGCAAGCACCCCAGATAAAGGCCTAGAGAGGGAGGGGTGTGTTGAGGGTGCATGCAGAGTCCAGGATCACAGAGAAGGGCAGGCTGGCACTGAGGGCACCGAGGGCCATGCAAAGGGGTCGTGTTTTAAGGGGCCTGGGGAGCTTTGGGAGGTTTCTAAGCATCAAGAGGCTCGGGCAGCCCAGTCAGTGTAGCTCAGTGGTTGAGTGTTGGCCTATGAATCAGAAGGTCATGGTTCGATTCCCAGTCAGGGCACATGTCCAGGTTCCAGGCTCCATCTCTAGTAGAGGGTATGAAGGAGGCAGCCTATCAATGATTCTCATCATTAATATTTCCATCCTTCTCTCCCTCTCCTTTTCTCTCTCTGAAATCAATAAAAACATATTTTTGAAAAGAGACTCAGACAGGCTGGCTCTGAGGGAAGCTGGCTCTGGTGGCTGCTAGGGATGGAGGCCAAGCCAGGGAGTGGGCCTGGGTGGGGAGGGGGACCTGGCAGGGCTGGGTGAGAGGGCAGAGGGAGGCAGATGGAGATGCTGGCCCGGCCCACACCACAACACCTTCCCTGCACCCTTGCGGTTCTCCCAGTTGGACTTGGCCTCCCCGAGGGCACTGGCCCCATCCTGTGGCCCGGGCAGCCCAGCTCTGGGCACCTGCTTTGCTTCCCCAGCTCTAACCTGACCTCAGCAAGCCACTGGCGCTTTGGGGCCTCTCTTCCTTTGCTTCCCTGCCTCATACCCACTGACCGAGTCTGAACTCAGCCCTGTGCTTACTTTCCCACCGGATCTACCCATGGGAGAAACAGTAGGCCCATGAGTGCAGCCCTGCCAACTCCACCCCCCCCCCCCCCCCCCCCCCGCCTCCTGCCCCCAACCAGCTCTGGTGCCACCTCTTCCCCCTGGGCCCGCCCAAAAGCTGGAATTCTGCCTGCCCCCCTGCTGTGATGAGTGCTGCTCTCCCCCAGTCCTCCCACCCCACCCCAGAGGAAGAAGCCCAGGTCTGTGAATGGAAAGGGCCTGCAGCCAGGACGGGGCCTGGGGAAAGGCTAGGGAGGGCAGCCCTGGTCCCTGACACCCCTCCTTGGCCAGGCCCCATCCCGGGCTCCGGGCAGAGGCCCACCTGTAAGGCCCCTGGTCGGGGAGGGGGGCGTTGCAGTAGGCCGGCTGGCGGAGGTCCGCCAGGCAGTCAGGGTCATTGCCCACCCGCAGCACGGCGATGCGGCTGTCACCCATGGGGTCCTCGCAGGGTAGCTGGTCCCGGGACAGGGGCAGCGTCATGTAGTGGCCGTCCGTCAGCAGCTGTGGGAAAGCTGGGACCTCAGCCAGTGTCTTCGGGTTCTGGAAGTCCCTGGAGGCTGTGGAAGGGAGGGACCGACCAACCCATGTGGCCGGTAAGCGAGCCCAGCCAGGCCTTCCTTGCCACAATCCCTGGCTGGGTCCATGGCCTCCAGCCCCCACAGGGCCCCTGAGACACAAAGCAGGGTGTGTCACTCCCTCAGAACCCCTCTCCATAAAGCCCAACTCCCAATCCACACCCACTCGTGGAACATCAGCCAGGGGCTCCCCAGACCCTGCGGCCCCGCCCCTCGCCCAGGCCCCACACCTGCACTGGACGCACCATTGCTAAAGGCCACCACCAGCCAGACGGTGTCGGCCGCCCTGGCGTGACCGTCCAGCACGCAGCGCGGCTGCTCCAAGGAGAACGTGGAGGCCGTCACCTTCCCTTCCAGGTCCCCGGCTGTGATCTGCGGCGTGTAGGGGATCAGCTCTGCGCCATGGAGATAGGTGTGAGGGTCCTGGGGCCCCCTGCCCTGGGGCCGCCTCTCCCAGTTAGAGGACGTGGGCTCCCAGGGTCCAAATGCACCAACCAGCAGGTGCCCCAGCCCCTTGGGTCTGGCCAGGTGCATCCAATCCCCGGACCCCCTGCTCACCTAGGCTCGTGCAGGGCTGGGGCCAGACCAGCGCCACCAAGAGGAGCAGCAGCAGTGAGTGAGGCCGCCTCTGGGCGAGCCCCATGGCAGCCACCTTCCGCCACATCCACAGCCTGGGGCTGGTCTGGCAGCCTCCTGCTGCGCCCCTCCCCCAACACCGAGGCCCGGAGTAGCTGGTTCGTCAGGTTGCCAGGCTGGCCAAGGGCTGGAAAGACCTGAAAATGTGAATGCACCCCGCCCCTCCCCTCAGCCCAGTCCCCCACAGGGAGGGGCCTGGGCAGGGCACTAGTGAGGGGCTGGCCTGGGCTGAGAGAGAGGCCACTGGAGCTCAGAGCCCCACGTCTGAATTTAGGCCCCACCCAGCCTCCCAGGCCCTGAGAGGAGGACCAGCCCCTGGAACCTTGGGCTCAGGGCCACATGCCTGAGATTCCTGCACCCCGAGGTGCCAGGAGACAACCTCTGGCCTCCCATCCCCACCCGGGAGCAAGCCTGGGGCAGCTCCAACCTGTCCAGCTCCAGCCCCATCAAGGCCCGCCGGGCCCTGCAGCCACCTTGCGCCCCGCCCTCCCTGCTGGGGCCACAGCCTCCCAGGTTCTTCAGCTTCCTGTCATCCAAGAACTTAGAGGAAGCTGTGCAGAGCCCTTGACAGCTGACAAGCCCCCCCACTTGTATTACTCCCTTTGGTTCTCGCTATATACATGGGTGAGGCAAAAGCATGTTTACAATGTTCATCAATAGTTACTACAAGAATAAACTGTTTTGCTCACTCACACTGTAAGTATATAAACCACATATATTTTTTTTACTAAGATATAATTAACCCATATATTATAAAGTCCATCCTTTTCAAGTGTACAGTTATTTTTAGTATATTAACAAGGCTTGTGCAATCAACATTAATTCCAGGAATTTTTCATTTCAGGAAGAAACAGTCCCCATGGAACACACTCCCCCTCCCTCCCTCTGGGAACCACTCCCGCTTTCTGCCCGGATCTGCCTATCCCGGACATTTCGCATAAGGAAATCACAGTTGCAGCCTCTCATGTCTGGCTCTTTCACTTGGTTTCATGTTTTCAGGGTTCATCCATGCTGCCGTAGGTCAGTACTTCGTTTTTACGGCTAAGTAACATCCCACCGGTATGGACAGACCACAGTTAGTTTAGCCATTCATCAGCTGGAAAGCTGGGTTTTCCCCACCTTTTGGCTATGATGAATAATGCAGCTAGGAACACTCACAGACAAGCTTTGGTTTGGACATGTTTTCAGTGCTTGGATGGGAACCTAGGAGTGAGGTGGCTTAGTCATACGGCGACCACTTTTTGAGGAACTGCCTGACCGATCTCCACGGCAGCTGCGTTTTACACCCAGCAGCAGCAAAGGGCTCCGATTTCTCCACATTCTCACCAAACATTTGCTGTTTTCCTTTCTCTTTATAATAACCACTCTCCTTGAACATGACCTGGTATCACTTTGTGGTTTTGCTTTCCTGATGACACTGAACATTTTTCATGTGCCTGTCAGCCATCTGCATATCTTCTTTGGAGAAAAGTCCTTTTTGCCTTTTTTTTTTTTTTTTTTTTAATTGGGTATTTTTATTCTTACTGTTGAGTTCCTTCTACAGTCTGGGTACTAGATCCTTATTAGGTAGATGATTTGCAAACATTTCTCCCATCCTGATTCTCATTATACTTTAATGGTGGGAGTCCAGAGGGCAGCGGCACGCAGGTGCCCATCCCAAACAGGTTGGGGGGCAGCCAGGCCTCTCTGCTTCCCCCAAGACCAGCTCCCCATTAGGCTCAGTGGGCAATGCCCAGGGCCCACGGTACATTTCAGGGGCCCAGGAAAAGTCCTCTTTTCTTTTAAAATCCGGAAGGAAAAAAATAAACTTCTAAATGGAAGAAAATGCTCTAACGTATTTTCATCTTTATATCAACACATCATAAAACAGAATTTGACTTTTCTCCTTTTTTAAAAAACACATTTTTATTGATTTCAGAGAGAGAAAGAACCATCAATGATGACAGAGAATCATTGATTGGCTGCCTCCTGCATGCCCTATACTGGGGAACGAGCCCACAATCCGGGCATGTGCCCTGACTTGAAGTAGGTTTAAGGTTGATGCTCAACCATTGAGCCACGCCAATCGGGCATAACTTTTTTTAATCCCTACCCAAGGATACAGTTTTATTGATTTTAGAGGGAGAAACCCACAACCTAGGTATTTCTCCTGACTGCGAATCAAACCCACCAGATTTTGGTATATAGGACGACACTCCACTGGGCCAACGATAACATTTTTCTTATAGAGGAAGGATCCCACAAAAGCAAAAATGTCTCTGGCCCAAAATGCGGCTGTGTCCCCCTCCAGGCTCAGGCCACAAGCACTCCACCCCATCCCCAGCAGACAGCAAGTCTGAGAGTATTGATCCTCTTTCTGAGAGGGTTCAGAAGGATTATAACTTTGAGGCTATCAGACCAATTCTGTCCCGGATTCCAGCTCTGGCTCTACCACTAGCTGGGACCTTGGGCCAGTCACTATATCCTTGAACCTCAGTTTTCCCATCTGTAAAATGGAGACAGCAGCACAGTGCTGCCCCAGAACTTGGGGAAGTAATGAGATGTGGGCTCAGAGTTGCTGGACTGTACAGTGCAAGGACTGGAGTGGGGGGTGGGGAAGCAGCACAGTCAGTGCCATGGGCTCTCTGGCTCTCACTGCAGCCTGTTTCTTCATTTAGGAAATGGGAGGTGAATGGGCAGCCCGTAAGGTCCTTTCCAGCAGGACACGTGTGTGCGGGCCTTCACACATCTCGTACGCACGTGCACACGTGCGCACATATACACACACATCCTCTCCACTGACAAATACACTAGGGCCTGCTGACTTTGGCTATTGGGTATTTATTGCAAACAGAACATCTGAGGTATGAGAAGCTGACCCAGACCCATGGCTGCCCCTGGCTAGGGGTGGGGCAGTCTCTCCTCAGCCCATGCCAGGCCCCCAGCACTGAGGTAGCTGCATCTTAAGCCCCCACAAGTACATTCCCCAGGTTTGCGGGTTCCCATGCAAATCCAGGCCTGGAGGGGAAGAGGAAGGAGGAAAGGCAAACAGGAGAGGCCCCAGCTTCGATGGAAAATGCCCATGCCCCCAATAAACACGTCAGCTTCTGCGGAAAGCACCTTCCTGCCTGTCCATCTCAAGAGCAGCCCAGCCGGCAGTGGGGATGGGCGGCCGGCTGCCAGGCTGCTGGTCACTGCTGCCCCAGGCAGTCCTCAGTCACTCCCTGGGCAGCCAGCTCAGCCAGCACGTTCTGCAGGTAGTTGGGGTCCGGGTAGCCGTGGCCTGTCACATTGCGGTCCATCTCTGTCTTGTGGTGGATCTCGTTCCACACCACCGTGTCGGTCTCGCCCGTGGTGCTGGACGTCCCCACGGTGAAGATGAGCCGCCTCTTCCAGGCCACCTTCAGCAGCTCCAGGACCTGCCCGGGAGGAGGAAGAAAAGGAAGAGGAAGTGAGGGAGGGAGGAAGGGTAGGTAAGCGCTGGCCTTCACAGGTTTTTCCACCCTGGGGAAGAGCAGCCCCAGTGATAAGGATAAGGTCAGCAGCACCAGCCACCCACCAAGGTCAGCTGTGGGTTGTGTTGGTGCTGCAGGCTAGGACCTTGGTTCATTCAGCATGTGCCATTAACCACCAGCAGGGTCCCTGGGAGCTGGGCCCCTTTCTCCTCTCCATTCTGTTCTATTGCCACCTTAAGTGGTGTCATCCACTGTCCCAGATGGAATCCCATCTGTGGGGGTCCCCAGCTTTTAGCTCTAACCCTGACCCCTGTGGAATGCCAACTGCTGTTCGACAGTCCAATGGACCTCACACTGAGCACTTGCATAACTCAAGTCTTGGCCCTCCCACCTCAGACAGTGCTGCCATCTACTCAGCCCCTGACGTCTAATTAGTCCCTATTTCCAAGTACATCTTGGATGAGCTTCCTTCTGTCCCTCCGCATCGAATCCAGGCCTCCCTGCTCTCTCCTATTCCTGCTGCTCTTCACCTGGAGTCTGTCCTCTCCACAGCAGCAGAGAGAGCTTTACCAAAACTAAAATCTGCAGCTCCTACAACTCCACTGACACACCCTCGCCTCGTGGCATCGCACAGTGCTTAGACAAAAGCCCTTGTGCAGCTCACCCCCCCTCACCCATTTGGTCCTCCTCAGGCTCCTCACATCGTCCCAGCCTGTTCCCATCTCAAAGCTGTCGCACCAGTTGCTCTGTCTCCCACGGACAAGGCAAGTCCTGCCTCGGATATCGGTGCAGAGGCACAGGCTGGCCCATGAGGCTGCTCAGAGACAGCGGCTCCTCCCCACGCTCCAGTGAAGTGTGGACCTGGTGCTCCCAGCCCACAGCAGGTTCCTGGGAAGGAGTGACCTTGCACTGGAAGGCCAGGCCTGCCAGTGGGGGGCCCTTCCCAAGGGTGGCACGGGGCTTTACCTTGCGGCCCTGGGCATTGTCAGGAAGGTAGCACTGGCGGGGAAACCCTCTGGCAGTAAACGGCTTCCCGGGGTTGGGGTGCTCAGGGCCCTGTAGGAGGAACACAGACAAGGGAGTGGGGGTGCTCTGAGAGAGGCTCCCCCACTAGAGCTGCACAAAACACGCAAGGCCCAGCCTCGCCCCTTTACCCTCCTGGCTGGGGCTATTCCTGAGCTCAAGTGGCCAAATAAATGGCTGCCTCTCTCAAATCCTGAGACCCAGCGTGAACATGGCTGCACTCCCTGGATACGTTCTACTCCCCCTGGCACCAGACACTCCTCACTTCTCCTATTTCCCTGATGAGAACAGAACCCCTCAGAGGCTGGACGGAGGCTCCTACTTCCTTCGGCAATCCTCCAGGCACGGGGCTCTCTGGACTGGACAGCAGGTCTGCCAGCCTTCAGGACACCCTCATTCCAGCTCACAGACCCCTCCAGTCTTTACTCTAGAAGTGGCTGGAGCAGGGCCCTGGATGGTGGCCGTGGTCTGCACAGGAGTGTGGGGCTGGCATGCCCTTTTCCTGTCCTCTGCTACACAGTGACACGTCACGTACAGCAACAAGTATCCCTCCGGCCCAAAGGTCCCAACTGGGACCACTGGGATCCTGCAGCCTTCTGTAGGATCTTCGTCTTGTTTCTGACATCCAGACCCAGCCCTGCCACTCCCAACCCAGCCTCCTCTGGCTACGGAGCCCTCTCTCCATCAGTTTTCACTGCCGGCATCTCCCCGTCCTGTCCTGTGGCCCCAAGAGGGTTCTGCCCTTCAACACAAGTGCTCTTCCTGTTTATACACTTGACCTTCTGCCAAGTACAGATCCAGCTAAGACGTCTCTGCCTCCAGGAAGCCTTCCCTAACTCAGGAGAGAGCCGAGGGCCACTTTTGCTTCCTAAGAGCTTGTCTCCTGTTCCTGACATCCTCACAGGGACCAGGGGACAGCCTGCTGGGAGAGGGCTGATTCCAGGTGGGTCCCAGGAGGCTCCTCTTTGCGGGGCCCTCACCTGGACGCCGTGAGGAATGTTGTAAACTATGAGTATTGTCCCGCAGTCCTCGTGGCCAGGGAGGGACACTGGGTAGCTGAACACCTCCATCTTCCCCCGAGGCTGGGTCCCAGTTTTCTCTCCGTAGATGGTTTTGCAGGAAGGACACTGTAAGCTTCCATCCTGAGACAAGGCAGAACGCCACACACTGAGCCGGAGGCCCGAGGGAGCACCTAGGCACCGCCACCCACCGTCTGGAGGGGAAGGAGGCCTGGGGGGACAGGTTGGCTGACATCACACGTCGGGTCTGGGCATGTGGCCCAAGGCCCAGGCAGCTTCTCACACAGAAACTTGATTCCAACAGCTTCCTTAGAAAGACAAGTTTTGTACCAGAAACTCGTTATATAATTTTCATTAAAGGAGACTGGCATCAGGTAGAAAAATCAGGTTTATGAACAAAAGACCCCACAGTCTAATCACATTTCAAGTCAAACAAGAAACCCTGTGACTGATCAACTATTGGTGCTGGCACCCTGCTGGCCAAGATACACAGGGACACTTGAGAAAGGCCAACCACGCCCGAGGGTCTGCCACATCTCAGTTCTCTCTGTCCTCCCAGGCTCTGTCCAGTCTGGCCGAACACCACTGAGGGAAGAGCAGCCAGACGTCACCCGTCACCCCAGCCCCCGACCCCACCCTGCTGCAGGGAAGGGGCTGCCTCTGAGCACACCCCAGTCCCTCTCAAGGCAGCTCGTCCCCTGCTCAGACGCAGCATGACCGGACAGGCCACCCCGGCCCCCTCCCTGGGCCAGCATGTAGGCACCTTGTTCCCATTGCAGTACATGGCCAGCAGGCAGAGCAGGTGGAAGGCATGGCTGCACTTGGTGAGGCGGCCCACAGCCCCTGGTCCAATGGTCATGCTGTTGGTCACGTCACTGTACCCAGACGCCACGGACAGTTTCTCCATGCAGATGATGCAGTCCTGGAGGGGGGCCAAACAGGGGGAACGTTCACCAAGAGACACTGCACCCAGAGGCGAGACTTGTAGGAAAAGGCCTTCATGTGCTGACCTGCCAGAGTTACAGTCACAGTCAATTCAACAGTCATTTGTTCCAGGGGCTGGGAACAGATGAGTCACTGGGACCTGTGCCCTCAGGGGCTTACCCTAGTAGGAGAAAGGACAGGCAGCACTGAGCCCCGGGCCAGTGCAGGAACAGAAGCAGAGGCCAACACAGCAGTAGAAACAGCCGGGTAGAGAGGAAGAAAACAGGAGAGGCCCTCCACGCTGGGTTTTCAAGAAAAAGGGGAACTTGTTGGATGGGTAAGAGCGGGAATGGACGTTGGGCTACAAGGAAGAGAATGATCTGAAGCATGAACCAGCATGTGGTCTGGGAGGAGCGGTAGCATCTATAGGGAAGGGTGTAGATGAGATAAGACAGGCGAGGATCAGATCCGAAAAGCCTCTGATCATGCTCAGGAGTAAGGGCTTTGTCTTATAAATCAGGCCTCATGGAGGAGTTTGTTTTTTATTTATTTTTATTTTTTATTTTATTGATCTTTCAGAGAGAGGAAGGGAGAGGGATAGAGAGCTAGAAACGTCGATGAGAGAGAAACATCAACCAGCTGCCTCCTGCACACCCCCTACTGTGGATGTGCCCGCAACCAATGTACATGCCCTTGACCGGAATCGAACCCGGGACCCTTCAGTCCGCAGCAACCAATGTACATGCCCTTGACCGGAATCGAACCCGGGACCCTTCAGTCCGCAGACCGATGCTCTATTCCCTGAGCCAAACCGGTTTCGGCATGGAGGAGTTTTGAGCAGGTTTGTAGCATGAGGGCAAAGAGAAAAACAAATTAGAGCTGTGAAGTGGGAACAGAGAGGACTGGAGGGAGGATGGGAGACACAGGATGGCTTTCAGGCTTCTGTCTAAACCTTTACCAACCTCACGTTTCCCACATACTCGACCGTCAGGCCAGTGAGGAGCCCTCGGTTGTGTTCTGGAAGGACTGACATTTAGCCCCCCTCCTCCAGATGCTCAGGACTCTCCATTCAAATCAGAGAAAAGCGGCCCCTCCATGTGGCTCAGCAGAGAGAGGTCTGGCCGGCCCTGTTAATTACAGGAGCCCTGGCCAGCTCTCCCACAGCTAAGGGGCAGGACTGCTATCTGGACAGGCCACTTCCCTTCCACACCAGCGTCAACCTCGGGGAGTGAGGCAGGCTCCCCCATTCCTTGTCTCCAGGACCCCCAGCCCCGGGATGGCACAGGGCTACACAGAGGCCTGTACAGCCAGCGAGGGGCTCTGCTCAGGATCACACTTGTTTGTGACAAAGCTAAGATTGAAATCTAAGTTTCAAAAGCTACAGCCACCTCATCTTGGTAAGGCCTGCCTCATAGGGAGGCTGGGAGATTAAACCCAAGTGCTGAGGGCCTGGTGCAGGTATTGGAGGTGCCCTGCTGGCAGAGGCCAGATTGGTGGCCTTCTCGTCTGGAGCTGCCTCTTGTTTCTTTTCTTTTCAAATATATTTTATTGTTTTTTTTACAGAGAGGAAGAGAGAGGGATAGAGAGTTAGAAACATCGATGAAAGAGAATCATCGATCAGCTGCCTCTTGCACACCCCCCACTGGGGATGTGCCTACAACCAAGGTACATGCCCTTGACTGGAATCGAACCTGGGACCTTTCAGTCTTCAGGCCGATGCTCTATCTACTGAGCCAAACTGGTTTCAGCGGCCCCTTGTTTCTAAAAACTACAAGCTGCCTGGCTCCTGGGCACCTACCTCATCTGGGGCAGTCTTCAGCTCTTCGGTATATTTTCTTATCACCTGCTCGGGCTCCGGCTTTGGAGTCCCTCCTACAAGAGAAGAACATCAGCAGTGTCCCTAGGAGTATGAACTGGAGATGCTGAAACCACAGAGAAAGGAGGGCAAGGGAGAAGTCCAAGCTGCCAGGAGGGATGGTAGAGGCTGAGACAGGAACGTTAGCATGCAAGAGGAGACTTGGAGTCAGGCGCACAACACCCTGCTTGGCTGAGCCCTATCCAGGCCCGCACACTGGGAGCCGAGCCCCAGGAGCCCCGGAGGCAAAGGAAGAGGAGCAGAGACAGCAGCTGGTCACAGCCCTCAGGTCCCTGCGCACATTCGGTCAGGAAACCAGACCAGGCTCCTTGGAGGACATGCAGAAAAGTCAAACAGCAGTTTTTAGAACAAACTACTCTGGAGCCTGTGCTGGTAGTGTTATTTCACTCCAGTTGCATTATTCTTATAATAAAGTCTCGGAAGAGAAGTGTTAAGAGGCAAGTGTGTAGCGGGTGCCTACCCCGTGTGAGTGTCTTGTGTGCACGCTGACAGCAGACGACAGCCACACTGACATTGTCACAACAAGCTGCCCAATCTTCTGAGTCCATCCCGGACTGTGGAATCTTAGTGACCCACCTACTCGGTTCCTAAGGCGAGTGATCTGGGAAGCAGCCAAGACAGGCAGCAGGAAGGGTGCCCTGGCCGCCCGCTCCTCTCAAAACCTCCCACTCCTCTGTGCACATGTTCAGAGGCTGGGAGGAGAGCCCTGCACCCACACAAACACTGACCCTGTGCCAACAGGCTTCACCAAGGACAAGAGGGAATCCGTACGGAGGGGGGCTTGTCCGGACAGACAGCGGCAGAACCAGAGAGAACGGTGGTAGCAAAGCCTGTGCGAGAGCAGAGAGGAGGGGCCAGGGAGGCTTGGGCAGCTTGGGAACACAGTCCTGCAGGGCTCCTCATCCTGCCTCAGGTCACTGGGGAGCTCCTAGCCTCCAACACCAAAGGGCTGTGGCTTGAACCCAAGCTCATGGCCATCAGCTTGTGGCTGCAAAGACTTACAGGCCTGAGGTTTCATAAGCTGAGCTCCCTCTAGACCACAGGCCCAGTGGTAGTTGTGAGGGGAGTAGACAGGCTGGGGTCAGGCAATGTCTGGCTCTTATGCTGGGACCAAATCATGCTACCGAGTCTCAGTTACCTCATCTAAAAAGTGGAGACCTAATACCGACCAAAGCTGATAGCTGTAAAGGCACTAACTGTTATTACCTGAAAGGCAGCTGCAGGCAAAGAATACCAGACTCTACACGCCCCCTCCACACACACACACACACACACACACACACACACACTCACACACACACCAATAAGCCCCCTCTCTGCCCACACATACACAGACACTCACAAACTTTGAGGACCTGACTCTCGTAAGAAAGCCAGGCCAAAGCACAATGACCACCAACACTTGGTGGCTGTCCTGGTATTGGACACTCTACTCAGATTTGTGGAGGAGACTCTCGGAAAAACCTGGTGGCTACACACCCGTCTCCAGAGGAGCTTAGGACCCCACCCACCAGGACTAGTCACTGGCCACTTCTGGTGAGGCGCAGCTCAGCATCCCACTCCCCACCTACCCGCCCTGGCCCGGGCAGCCTCAGAACTGAAGGTAGCGTTCCACGAGCCACATTTCTCCAAGGGAGCCAGCCAACCCCATGAAAGGGACGTCTGAGCCCAAAAAGGCCAGGTCTGCCAAGAGCCTAAGTGTTCTTTCAAGACAAACCCGAGTGCCTCGGAAGGCTGCTGGCCTGCCCTGCCCACAGACCTGTCTGTCTCCATCTCCACGGAGAGTAAGAACTGGACTGGAGTCAGGACCTGAGCCTGCCAGGACTGCTGGGGGTGAGGGTGGGATTGGGTGGGGCTGCCCCCTCCCTGGGCCTTTCATCTGCCCTGTGGGGTGCCGGTTAGACAGGCGGTGGGCATGATCAGAGCAGGTGCTTCCTGTGTAGACCTTCTACTCCTCCCACAACCAATCTGCTAAGTAGGAGGCACTGGCTCATGAATGGAGGAGACACTTGTGTGAGTTCACAAAGCTGGTGAGTGCTGGAACCAAGACCAAAACCCAGGATGGCTGAGCCCGGCTGTGCTCCTTGCTCACATCATCCTGCTCTCAGCAGTCCATGCTTCCCTGGCTCCATGATGGAGCTGGAGCCACAAACGGCTTTAGAAATGACAGGTTTAGAACTTCTCACCCAAGTCTTGTTAAAACTCACATGGTTCCGAAACCACTTCTCCAGCAGGGTGATGGGCAGGGCACTGGTCTGGGGGCCTTTCCTGAGACACACACTGGTCCCAGAGAAGGGACACAGTGATCTCTCATCCTGAACCAGGCATCACCCCACACCTGTGTTACAAAGTCACAGTCTGTAAAAACAGGCCATCTGTGCCAGGGAGACAGGACCTGAACTCGGGGACTGCAGGAGAAAGATTCCCAAGGGGCCACCTCTGCACTGAGGGCAGGGAGAAGGGCTCGGAGCCCACGTGCCAGCAGGTGAAGGAAGCGGAGAAGGGCCATGGGAGTCAGAGAAGAGCAACTGATGCGGAAGTCAGAGGCAGCAAGACTTGGAGGCGGCTGAGCAGAAGCCAGAGAGTATTTGTGAGCAGAAACTACCTTTCATGGACATTTTCCTCAATCTCTTAACTGAGCTGTGACTTTTAGAGGCCAGACAGGAGGCGGGAGGACTGGCAGGCTGGGGTGCGCGGCTAAGACACACAGGGAGTCCGATGGCTGACATCAGAACACTCGTCATGCCTACACGGGGTGCGAGATCAGACATGCAGAGGGGAGAAACATTAGGAGGAGTCGACTGGTGCGTGTCGTCCATAAACCCCAGCTGAGTCCAGGTGGCACTGTGAACGGCCATCAGGACCCACTGGTCTCCCTGGAGAATCTGGCGGCTTGAGGCTGGCAGGGCAAAGCTCCAGGCAAGCCAGTGAGATGCCTGGCTCATTGGAGTCCTGGCCCCAAGTTCCACAGGTGTCTATCCAAGCAACTGATCAGCTTGCACCCAGATCATGCAGGAGGGCGGGGCCATTTGCTTCCGGAGGACAAAGGGCAGAATGCCACCTCAGGAAGCCTCCTGAACAGCTCCGGGTGGCGTCTCCCCATGCCAGGCACGGAGAAAGAGCAGAAGGGCAACATGGAAGGGTGCGGCCAAGCTACGGAAACATGGAGGGGCTTTCAAGCTCACAATCCTCCCCATGTTCTCCCTGCACACCCCCTCAGCTCCCAGTCACTGCCTCCAGGGGGCACTGTATGTTTTCTGTGCCCTATCGGAACTGTCTAGGTCAGTAGTCGCCAACCGGAGGTCCAAAAGGTTGGCGACCGCTGGTCTAGGTGGCTTCAGCGCCATTGCTGGGGTGGGCAAGCAGGAGAGCGGACCCTGAGCCTACTCCCCAACAAAGGTGTCCCCATGGCCCAGGGGACTGCTCCTTTAAAGCAGCACAAGTCCCAAGCCATGGCTTCCTCCTCTGTAACCTCAGCTGAGGCTTCAACAGCCCTTCGGCCCTGGGTGGGCATGTCCACATGGGGAGGGAGCTGAAAAGGCAGCCCAGCTGAGATGGATGTCCATTCTTGTCATACTGCCTGATGCCTGCAAGGGGAGGCCTCACTCCTCAGCCAGGTGCTCCACCTGTCCTACCCATCTCCTAACTGACCCTCATCCCACACTGCTCCCTTAGCACTCCCTGAGGGTCTGACACTTCCTAGAACACAGCATGACCTCCTATTGGAGTGGCTATTCCTGCCACCCTCTCAGCCTATTCCGCCGTCCACAGCACCACCTCCCCAAACCCTCCGGTCCTCAGTCTAGCTCAAAAGCACCTCCTCCTGAAGGGAGCTCTGGGCTTCTCCTTGAGTACCTCCCTGAGTGTGGCATTCTGAGCGCTCAGAATCTGGCTAGGGAGTTGGACACAGCCTGGGGAAGGAGTGGAGAATCTGAACCTGCTGGGCCCCATTTCCCCACCTAGCAAGGCCAACAGAGCTGCCCACTCCAGAGGCGATTCAGTGAGGTGACACCTGGCCTTGGGATCCATCATGCCAGCCACTGTGGCATTTACCCCTGGGCCACCAGTCCCCAAGAGGCCAAGCATGATCAACGCTCCTTTCCTCTTCAAGGCAGGACCCATTCTCCTGAATTCAAGTTGCAGACACAGGTCTCCACTTAGAAGCCTGCAGTGTTTGCCTTCTTGTGAAAAAGTGGGAAAGCAGCACATAGTGAACAGAATGGTCAGGGGACACCAAGATGGACCACCACATCTTCCCCAACAGCAAGGGCTCAGGACAGCCACCCAAAGTCCTAACATCCCCAGATAACTGTAATCGCTCAGACAGCCACAGCTTTCCTCCGCTCCTCTGATCTGTCAGAGCCCCCAAGACTGCAGGCCTTTACACAGGCAGATGTGTGAACACCCCTTTCTGGCACCAAAGATCCGCCTTCGCCCAGTGATCAGCTCAGGTCCGAGCTTATCCTCTTCTGGCTCTGGTCTTACCAATCAGGGTTCAAGCCCAGCACCCCTCCTCCCTGGATGACTGGTCTTAGGCAGGTTGCAGCAGCATAAAATGTAGATACTCCTCCTCCCTCACAGGGTGGGAACCGAGCCCCAGCATCACCCACTCCCCAAAAGAGAGGTCCGGGCTATGCCACAGCCAGTGAAGCTATCACCTGAGGCATTCCTGGCCTGGCCTGCAGGGGGCTCCTCTGTGGACCTCCTCCGCCAGTGCAGAGGGGCACACAGTCCAACAGCATGGCCACTTGTTTGTAAACCTACCTGCACAAGCCTGTGTCTAAGTGCTCAGCTCCCTGCAGCCATGCCTGAATCCATACTCCCAAGCCCATACACATAGTCCAGGCTGAGAGAACACTCTCCAGACCTTGTTTCTTGGGGGCTGGCCTGGGATCTCTTGTTTCCTGGCGCCCCAAACAACAATCCCAACAACAGGTATAAGCCAGAGGCTTGCATTCAGGGAAGGTGGCGCCTGACCATGGACTCCAATTCAGTCTCTACTCTTTTCTAGCTGGGACCAAGTTCCTAAACCTTTGGGGTCTGTTTCCCCAATAAGTGGAGGCTAAAATACCCACTTACTTCCAGGATTGCTCTGAGAGTCAAGGCAAGAGGGGACAGTGAGAACAGTTTCAGATACTTTCGCTGTAGCATTTTTCCCATAAACATTTCACTGCATAACTAATTGGACATTAGGCAATTCTTCCATTAAAAAAGCACACACACACAACCAAAACCGGTTTGGCTCAGTGGATAGAGCGTTGGCCTGAGGACTGAAAGGTCCTGGGTTCGATTCCGGTCAGGGGCATGTACCTTGGTTGCGGGCATATCCCCGGTGGGGGGTGTGCAGGAGGCAGCTGGTCGATGTATCTCTCTCATCGATGTTTCTAGCTTTCTATCCCTCTCCTCTCCCTTCCTCTCTGTGAAAAATCAATTTAAAAAAAACAAACACACACACACACACACACACACACACAATCATGACAAAAGAAGGACATTAAAAAGGAATAAAATTAAAAATATATATTGTGAAATATAAAATATTCGACTACCTTTGTGTGTGTGTGTGTGTGTTAATCCTCATCTGAGGTCATTCTTTCAAAAAAGAGGGAGGGAGGGAGGGAGGGAGGGAGGGAGGGAGGGAGGGAGGGAAGACAGAGAGAGAGAAACATTGATGTGAGACACACATCGACTGATTGCCTCCCACATGTGCTCCATCCTGGAAGTTCTTATAAACGTGTATGTTAAAGCCTTAGTGATTGCAGAGAGGACTGGAGCCATGTAACGTGCAGGCCAAGACTGTTCACCCACAACTTTCTCCAATAAGACTACCACCAAACACATGCACTCACGCACATGCATACACATACACACAGAGGGCAGGGAGGAAACCTGCAACTCAGGTACGTGCCCTTCACTGGAAATTGAACCCGTGACACTTTGGTGTGTGGGCCAGTGCTTTAACCACTAAACGCACCAGCCAAGGCCATTTGACTACACCTTTAAAATGTGTGCAGGTTCATCAGGTACAAGCCACAGAATAAAATCAGATACTGCACCAATACCTGATTTTATTCTGTGGCTTGTACCTGAGCACTTGTCTTTGTCCTATGGGAAATGTGGGTTCAAGTCTCTTTCTCTACCCAATGTTGTATGTTCCAAAATAAAAAACCAACTATCTCTCGGGGGAAATCATCGTCATCTGGAAGAAATGCTATTTTACCACCACTATATTTAAGTTGTCTATGGAGAAATAAACCAACTAAACAAAAAAGAAAACAAACCAACCAAAAACAAAATAAAAAATGTCAACCAGTTATTTTACCTTTTTTCTTTTTTTTTTTTTTTTATGGCAAAACTGCCTTATGGCCAAATAGTTAGGTGGCAAAAACGTCTGTAGTAGAGATGCTATGGTTCTCGACACAAGAGTATAAGAAAGGGAGCTACAGCTACTCAATACCTAGAGCACTTCTGGAGATTCTGGAGATATAAGCATGTGTGCTAAAGCCTTAGTGATCACAGAGAGGACTGAAGCCATGTAACGTGCAGGCCAAGACTGTTCACCCACAACTTTCTCCAACAAGACTGCCACCAAACACATGCACTCACGCACATGCGTGCACATACATGCACGCAGGCACACACGCACCTACACAAGTCTGACTCATCTATGACAGCAGATGCCACAAAAAGATCTAAACTGGACAGGAACTTTCTAGTCACCATCTTTGCTCACTGCCCTCTGTTCTAGCAGAGGGTTAATGGCTGAGCAGCTGAAGCTGGTGTCAGAGGACCTGCAGGGCAAGGCCTCCCCTCATGGGCGTTCCCAGCCCCACTCTCCCATCTCCTATTACCTTCCTGACTGGTCCTTCCATTTCCTGTAAGGCTCTTCTTCCCAGTGCCCCACCCATGGTCCCTGTAAGCTCACACTCTTCCATGGAGGGAAGAGGCCATCCTAAACTGCTTGTCTGAGCTGCACATCTAAACTCCCACTGCCTCTAGGCTAGTTCCATCTATCTATACCAGCCATGGCCCCCCTCACCCCTCTGCATTCCCACCAGACTCAGGAGCAGCACAGTGTAACAGCTGAACGGCTAGATTCTGAGGACAGAATGCTTGAAGCTGCATCCCAGCTCTCTAAGGAGAGGCTGGCTGATCTAGAGAAGTTTTGGAATTCTCTGAGCCTATTTCCTCAAGTGTGATTGGGATGAAGTGAATCAACACACATACAAAGCTCCTAGTGAACCCTAACTAATAATTTCTTACAGCACTGTCGTCAGCAGCTGTACACCAGGCCTTGTTCTAGCCCTTCTCTCTCACAATCAGGCCCATCACCAAGTCAGAGCTCTTCCCTCCATCCCACTGTCATGGCACTACTGGGCCACTCGCTGGCTTACCTGAGGCATGAAGTCAGGCTCTCCAAGGGTCTCCCTGCCTCCAGGACTGTCTTCCCCATATTATCACAGCCACTCACCTAACACATTCTCTCCACTGATCTTATTCCCCTGTTTTGGTCTTTACATGACGAAGGTTCACTACATTGAGTCTACCTTTCTAGAGCACTTTCTATTTCTCATAAGGTAAAAAATAACTTTCACTGCCTCCATAACATCTGTAAAAAGAACTTAAAAAACAGTTCCAAGAGGTATGGTTAACAAAAGATCTAGCAAGACACAAAAGCCACTTATTCATAATGTCACTCTAGCCAAAATAGTTCTGGAACTTTCCCAGAGGCCCCTTTAAGGAAATGCCTAATGCATTTCAGAATAGGAATGTGATTCCTGAAACATAATTCAAGATGATGTGAAAATTTAAAAGATGGCACCTGACCCAGGAGCTTAGTTGGTTCGTCAGGACACATACAAGAATCCTATATAATAATCTTATATAATAAAAGGCTAATATGCAAATCGACAGAATGACAAAATGACCAGTTGCAATGATGCGCACTGACTACCAGGGGGCAGACGCTCAATGCAAGAGCCGGCCCCTGGAGGTCAGTGCACTCCCATAGGGAGAGTGCCACTCAGCCAGAAGCTGGGATCACGGCTGGTGAAAGCAGCAGTGGTGGCAGAAGCCTCTCCCGCCTCCATGGCAGAAGGTTGTCTGACTGCCAGGCCTAAGCCATCAATCAGACATCCCCCAAGAGGGCGCAGATCAGGTTGAGGGACCCTGTCCCCATGAGTGCACAAATTTTATGTACCAGGCCTCCAGTCAACCAATAAAGACAAATGGGTGGAGCAACAAACTAATGTTTCTCTCTCTCTCTGTCCCCCACCCCTCTAAAAATTAACAAATTATTAAGGTTTTTTAAATTTTATTTTAAAGATAGGGGAAGGTCCACACCAGGGCATCCACCCCTGAAGAGAGAAAGGAAGGGTACCCCAGGCTCACTCACCATCACAGACAAGAGGCACTGCCCCCTCAAAGGAGCCCTTTTGGGTTTCCATGAGAACACAGAGGATAACAACCCTCACCCCACAATCTCCTCCCACTGCCCCCAAGTCTTGCCAAACACAGCCTGTTCCAGACCCTGGAGCCCGAGAGCAGCATGCCTACCTGCAAGGGCTTGCTGGACCCTGCTGGGCTTCGGCATCTGCACGGGCACAGTGGTGGGGATGCTCCCAGGACCGCTGGGCATGGAGGCACTTGGGGAGAAGAGAGCAGAGTTTAGTGTGTGGAGCCGACTTAGCAGAAAGGAGAGTCAGTGAAACACCAGAGAGACACACTGGTGCTGCCGAGGCCCCTTTTTACAGCTGCTTCTGTGTGAGTGAGGGCTTCTGCTTTTTTCTTTTTTTTTTTTTAATTGAAGATCTGATGAAGAGTATCTGAAAAGAGGAGCAAAGAAATCTGAATTTCACCACTCTCAGACCCAAACTAACCTATAGAATCTGAGTACTTCAAAATGTTAAGCCCAGAGCCTGGCGCACCATCACTTCCTCTGCAAAAATCACCTGACAGAAATAAAACGTCAGGTCAGGCAGGGATTGCTGGGGTATGAGGTCTCATCATTTTTTTAAAAAAGCTTTAACTGTCAAAAAATGTTTTCCTGGCAAACCCAGACTCTGAAGACAAAAAATTTTGAGCTTGCTAGCTTCATAAAAAGGAGAGCTCTATGATTGCTGTAGAAGAAAAATCCAGCAGAAACCACTTTAACAAGTGATCAAAACCAACATTGTCAGTAATATGACCAATCAGTATCAGGAACCCCAAGGAACAACGCTCCAAGGACACACCACCATTTTTGCAGTTCCTGCCAAGATTGCAAAAAAAACAAAACAAAACAAAAAAAACAGTCCAAATTACGAGAAAACATCTGACAAACCCAAATTAAGAGACATTTGACAAATTATGAAAGTGTCAGGGTTATAAGAAGCTGAAGACAGACCAAGGAACAGTCACGATGGTAGAAAGAGAAGAATTGACAACTGGATGCAAGAATGAGACACAGAATGAAAAGAATGGTTGAAAACTGGTTAATGAATAGTACTGCACCAATAGTAATTCTTTGGTTCTGAAAACTGCACTATGGTTATGAAAGATGTTAACATGAAAAGACTAGTAAAGGAGATATAGAAACTCACTATACTATCTTTTAAGTTTTCTGTAAATATAAAATTGTTCAAAATTAAGGGATTAAAAAAAGAGGGTCTTGCTTCTTACAGTGACTATGTTCAAGTCACTAATTTGGCTTTAGTGACTTGATATATATGTGTGTGTGTATATATATATATATATATATATTTTTTTTTTTTTTAATACACTTTTGATTTCAGAGAGAGGGAGATGGAGAGAGAGAAACATCAATGATGACAGAGAATCATTGACTGGCTACCTCCTGCACATCCCATATAGGAATCAAGCCCACAACCCAGACATGTGCCCCCTGGTTCATAGGTCGATGCTCAACCACTGAGCCACATAGAGCAGGCTAGGTTGTTGTATAAAGCATTTAATTTGTTAGTCTTTGGGGCGAATCTGATGCATCACCAGGTGCATTACAACAGAACCATTAATCTTATAGCTTCGTCAACACTCATTGGTCTGTTTTCCTGACTCTGTTGAAGAGCCAGCTGTTTCTGCAGAGGTTTGAGGGAAAGGCCTTGAGAGAAGTGAGCTAGCTCTTTCTCTATGTCCACAAAAGCTTCATTCATTCTTTTAACTTTTTCAGCGTTCACCATGTTTATCTCCTTAAGATTCGTAGTTTTGCTTTACTTTTACCCTTTAAGTTTTTGTTTTGTTTTGTTTTGCTGGCTATGTGAAACACATTCCTGGGCTCCTGCCCTTTCCATTTGTTCTTGGCCATTGTCAGAGTGACCTCTCACAACCACTCATGCTAGATATTTTTAAATATAAATCTATGCCATTATGGCTGAGAGGAGCCCTGCACTGGAGAACAATTGGTGTAGATGGCCCAAGGTGACAGCCAACAGCCCCAATCCTAGTTCCTGTGTCCTCCCATCCAACCTTGCCCATGTTAAATAGTTATAAAATCCTTCCACCTAATCCTTACACTGGAACTTGTCAAATATAAGGCCTTTGTTTCTTTTCTCCTGGGCCCAGCCAGAAACCAGGTACTAGGAAATGATGGACAGCTTCAGCCTACTGTGCTACCCTTACATCTGCCAGTAAACCAACAAAATGCTTCCAGAAGCTGCCCCTGATCCTTCCCTACCACTAGCTGGTGGAAACTACAGGGAGCTGACTGGTTTTTATCCACACCAGAAGAACCTCCTACCGAGCTAGTGCTGAAGCTGCCAGCGCCTCGCACAGGGTCTGCAGCGCAGCAGGTGCTGTGGTATATCTGAGTGAAGGAACGGGTGGTTTTGTTTTCATTCCTGGATTGTTCTCCCGATCAGAATATCCTGTGTGGCCACGCTACCTGCCTATCTACTCTCCTCCCCAAAAAGAATGACGGAACTGGACCTTGGATTTAGAGTGCTTAGATAATGCAATGGCGAGCTGGGTGTTCAGGACACCAGGGCTAAGGTTTTGGCCCACTAAACTCTGTTTAATTTGGAACAAGGTCCACCCCAACTCCCTCCCCTAATTTCTGAGCCTCTTCCCCATTAGTTTCCTTATTTTTGTTTTTGGTGTTTGTATTTTGTTGTTGTTGTTGTTGTTAATCCTCACCCAAGGATATTTTTCCATTGATATTTAGGGAGAATGGAAGAGAGGGGAAAAGACAGAAACATTGAAGTGAGAGAAACATATCAATTATTTGCCTCCTGCACAAGCCCTGACCAGGGCCCAGGCCATGGAGAAGCCTGCAAGGTATGTGCCCTTGACTAGAGTCGAACCTTCGGTCTGCAGGCCAATGCTCTATCCACTGAGCCAAACCCATTTGTTTTTTTTTAAAAGGAATGTAATTCTTTTTGCAATTCTCAGTTTCTGTAAATGAAGGAATTCAAGAAGATATAGCCCTTCCAGTCATCTTTCACCTCCCAAGCCAACTTTCCGGGGAGCGCTGAGCTTGAGCCCTCAACCAGGAAGCCAGAAAGCTACAACAGCACAAAATTAGCCGAAACTGGTTTGGCTCAGTGATAGAGCGTCGGTCTGCGGACTGAAAGGTCCCAGGTTCGATTCCGGTCAAGGGCATGTACATTGGTTGCGGGCACATCCCCGATGGAGGGTGTGCAAGAGGCAGCTGGTCGATGTTTCTCTCTCATCGACGTTTCTAGCTCTCTATCGCTCTCCCTTCCTCTCTGTAAAAAATCAATAAGATATATTTTTAAAAAATTAATGGGTTACTCAGTGGGCTCAGCACTACCGGCCCAGAGGGGCTCCAGGAAGTGAGGTCTTCCTTCACCACAGAGAGGCACATATCTAAGGGAGAAGGCCTAATTTTATGTTTCATCCCCTCAAAAACTAGAGCACAAAACAGATAGGCAATGAGGCTTCCAGTGGGCAACTCACCCGGGAACAGGGACCAAGAACCAAGAATCATGACTAAGTTTTATTTGCTTAAGGGTCTCCCAATGTGGCCACTTCCCCTATGAATTATCCTAGCTCCTCCCCCCATTTCCCTGCTGTGATCAGAGAAAATGAAGCAGAAAAAGGATCCAGTGGTTCCCACGATGGGAACTTCCAAGAGTGGACAGAACCTCAGTGGCCATCGATCCATCCCATCATCCCCAAAGGGCTCAGACTAACAGCAGCCTCCGTGTGGGGCATCATGTGCAGTGCCCTTCTCCGAGAATTCCTCAGTCACTGCCTCAAGCCTCCCTCTCGGCCTCTCACCTTTCTGGGTCTACATACTAAGTCTCCCTGGCCTTCCGGTCTGAGACCATCGCCTGGAGCTTCCCAATGGAGATGAGAACATGACACATGCGCACACACAGAATGTGACAGCCCCAGGTAAGGGGCAGCTAGGTGGCTAAAGAGTAAGAAAATGCAAGGCCTCCCTCCACCTCCCAAAGATCAGGAGGCCAGCACCAACCATGTACAGGACAAGGAGGTCAGATGTGGAATCTGACACCCCATCTCCAGGGCCTGCTCCTGCTTAAAGCTGTGTGCCTTTACGCATGTCGAATCCCCTTCCTGAGCTTCAATTTTTCTATTTGTAAGATGAAAATAATTCCAAAAGGCCCCCAGGGCAGTTACGAGGCTTGATCAGCACCCCAATACAAACATCCATTGTTCTCCAGGTCTCAGAGGAGCAAAGGGGGTACAGCAAAGCTGAAGGGCTGCTGAACACCTTTCTGCAGAGGCCTCACTAAACCCTAAAACCAACAGCAATATTAGAGCAAAAGGAAACTTCAGAAACTGGCCAACCCACTTCCTTAATTTTAGGAAGTGAAAAGAGAGACCTGGAAAGGGAACAGAGCTAGTCCAGACACCTGCAGTGAGTCAGGAGGAAAGTCCTACCTGGAAGGCAGGATTTCAAATCACACACACCTAAAGAGCCTGGCCAACAGCAGGAGGGGGTAGGGTGTCCTTAGAGGAAGAGAGAACGGCAGTAAGAACGGAACAAATGAAAGCAAATTGCAAGAGCCATCTCCTAGGGCTGCTTAATGCAGAGACAAAGCGTGCCGAGGCTTAGTCACACCAGAGCTGCAATAGACTGCTGGTCATAATCACCACCTCAAGTCATTAAAATGGGCAAGCCGGGACACCCTCTCTTAAAGAGGACAAGACTATACACATGACACATTTTGGAAAGTTTTCCATCCAACACCATTAAAACACAAGTTTTGTGCTTAAAGGGATAAACTTCAACAACCAGGAGATTTACTTAAATCCAGCAGCTCAGTGACAAATCATGTACCTTCTCAATGTACTGCTGCCTACTCAGCCTCTCAGGGCACAAGGAAATCAGTCAGTCTAGGCTTTCCCCAGATTGAGCAAGAAGCTATGTGAAACCACATGGGTTCCACAAATTTTACTCACATGTTCTTTCCAGTGGCTACCACTAACCACAGCTGGTTCTCAGGCTTACCCAGAGCCTGGCACTGCCTGCCCTGCTGCCCTCTCCTCTCCTCCACAAACATGGTAACTTTCACCTAATGCTGTTGACATTCATTTGGCTTCAAGAACTACACCACAGACCCCAGGGAGACCAAGTTGCCAAGTGTTTTCAATCCTGTCACCCTCAGTGGGTTAAGAAGTCAGCCATTTATTAAACCCTCTCTGGCTCTACAACACCCACCAGAGAAGGGTTAACTGCAGAGGGCCCCACTAAAAATTAGATACAGGAAAACCTAGTTTCTCAAACTAGGGGATAGGCCTATGCAAGTAAAGATCACCCCTCCCAGTTCCCAAGAAGCTGGAGGAGATAAAGATGAACATCCACCTTAGGAGGCAGGTCCCTTTGAGGCTGTTTCAGCTAACAGAGCCAGCTGGCCTGGTTCCCTCCTGGCTTACAATACAGGACAAGCACCAACACGCAGGGCCCAGCAATAAAGTTAAGACCGACTGGCCCAGCCACTTTCCCTTCAGTAACTTGCTTGGCCTGTACCAGTTGGGCCCACATCAACAGTCTCTCAGGCCTCAGGCTGTGGAGGTGAAAGCAATGGAAGCCCAGTACCGGGAGAGAGCAACCAAGCTTATAATTGCCTGGCTCAGTCCTAGAATCCCACCTCTAGAAACATCCAGAAGTTTCCTTTAAAATAATTTGTAAGAACTAAAAAAATAAATAAATTAAATAAAATAAAATAATTTGTAAGAACTTAAGAATCCCCAGGAGGCTAGGCAAAGCTGAGCTAGTAGAAGCTCTAGCCCTACTGATAATCATTCTGGGCTGGCAGATATAACACACTTTTCTCTAAAAGAGACTGACCCACATATTGGAGGGGGCTTCAAAAGGGCACTGGGTGAAACTGGGCTCGCAGGGTCCTGCTTGCTAATGTCTATGTAAAAGTCCACAGAGAAGGCTCAAGTAAAACCTCCCAGTGCTCCCAATTCCCAGAAAAATCTTAGCTCCATGTGCCCCAACTCTCAGGAGAAAATGCCCAGGAAGATACCCTGACCCATCCAGGACCCACTCCTCTCCTGTCTGTTGGACTCCTCCACACTCATCCATCCAAATACCTTTTATCTTCCTCTCCTTCTGCCTTAAGAGAGCTTCAGAACTCCATGTGTGCCACATGGCCCCCTGGGGCCTCAGTTTAATGCCAGCTCTGCCACTTGCTAGTTAGGCTGCCAACCCTGTCAGCCTCAATGTCCTCACCTGTAAGTGGAGGACACACTCACCGCACAGCTGTTATGAGCATGAATGAACTCACGAGCCTGCTCAATGGGATTGGCTTAAAGTACTCAGTGAATGGCAGTTGTCACTGTGTCTGCTAGAAGTTGGCAGGGTCCTCTGAAACCCAGCTTTAAAAAATGCTCAAGGCCCAGTACCAAGGCCTTGGCCACACTGGAAAGCTTCAGCCCTTACCGTGGTCAAGCGGGCAGGGATGGAGCTGGGTGAGTGAGGCAGCAACCAGATGCTGACTGGCTAACAGCAGTGCAAATCAACAAGATGCTGACTCCCTGGGAAATAGGGCAGACACAGGCCCACATGTCCCATCACTACCGGCCCAGGTCACCTTCTCTCAGAAATCAGCCCCCATCGCAACCACCACTCTGAATTCTCAAAAACGTTTTCCAAACCCAACTCTCTCAGTAATGACCAATGAGGCCCTTGTCACTGACAGGTGTCTGAGCACCCCAGGGGCACCCCAACTGGCCACTCCCGGAACTTTTCTCTCTTTAAAGTGACAACTGGTCTGGATGGGCCTGTTTCATCATCTTTCTCAAGGTGCAGAGAGCTCTCACAGACAGCGGGCTAGAATGCATCAGCACAGAGGGGTGTCCCATGTCACCTGTTGCCACCTCCTAAGTGCCCCTCCCCACCATTTTGCTCTCCCCTCAACCAAAGCTGAGCTCAAAACTTTCTCCTGGACAGGACTGTGGACTTAGGGAGGGGACTGAACCTTCCATGTCTATGAGGTGAAATGTCAGTGAAATATTCTCAGGCACATGGTACCAGCTACATGGCACACAGGCACAGACAAAAGTGGTTAGCTGCTCTATACAGAGTGCGATTCTCCTGAGCGAATGGAGGGATTGCTGGTTTTAACCTGTGCGGCAACTATCAACACTCAAGTCCCACTGGTCAAGGCTTTGTGGTATGCAAGGCTGTGGACAGCTGTGGCACCACAGGGCACATGCAAAGGAGATGACATGGCAGAAACAACGAAAGAAGCAGGTGCTAAGTCTGCAGGTATTTGGGTGAGTCTTCCCAACTGAGGAAAAGCAAAACTCAACCCTGCTGACAAGGTGCACAGGCGGACGAAACGACCCTCAATAACACAAGATACCTGGCTCCACTGGCAGTGGATGGTCCTGGGGGCTGGCGCTGAGGTCCCAGGTGGGAGAGGCTGGAGCAGTAAAAGGGCTGGTTCCCCAAGGAGGGCAGCACCCCGCCCCAGGGGTTGGTGGTGTTCAGCCTGGGTGCAGACCTAGCTCCAGAGAGCGAGGGCTTATTGTATGGGGCAAAGGCCTGGTGGGCCCCCAAGATAGCAGCAGTCCTTTGGGGGGTCTGAGGGGCAGGGTATGCAGGGAGGCTGGTCATGGAGTGGCGGTAGCGACCTGACACGGGGCCAGTTCCGCCATTGTTGAGGCACTGGTGGCAAGAGCAGGCGACGCCCATGTGGCCTGGCGGAGCGATGATGGTGGTCACTGGGTAAGGGGGCCCTGCTTGGCGCCGCACACTACGGCAGTAGTTCGAAGCCTTATTGGTCTGTGTGTGGGTGGCATAGTTGACGACGTAGTTGTACCCCAAAGGTGCCAAGTCCACAAGCTGGTTGCCCCTGGCCACCTGCTGCTCCAGATAGTCACAAATGCTGGCTTCATAGGCTGTCCAGGAGCCATCGTCGTTCAGCCACTCCCAGACAATGCCCCGGCCCGGGGCTGAGAGCTGGGAAAACAGGTGCCTCCGCACAGCCCGCATGGTGCCTGTTTTGCAAGGAATATTACATATAAATGGTTAATCTGCTAGCACCCCAAACAAATGAAGTTTTATTTTTCCCCATAACCAAATTAAATTAATATGATCATGGTATATGTAGGGTCATGGTGCCATCTGACCTAAAGTCTGGCATTGGTTGTTCTTCCCAAATTTTGGGTGAAGGACAGAGATCACCCTTTAGACAAAAAAAAAAACCTGCGGCCCAAAAAGATCAAGTAGCAGCAGGGGATCCATCTCCTGGGCAGGAATGGGGGATGCTGAAAGTTTAGTCTGAAGCTTTAAAAATGATTTTTAGCCGTGGCCAGCACTGCTCATGGTAAGAGCATCAGCCTACACACCGAAGGGTATTGGGTTTGATTCTCGGTCAAGAGCATGTACCTGGGTTGCAGGTTCCATCTCTGGCCTGGTCAGGGTGTGTGGGAGGCAACCAACAGATGTGAGAACATGGGTGTTTCTCTCTCTCTCCCATGGCCTCCCTTCCACTCTCTCTAAAAATCAATGGGGGAGCCAAAACCGGTTTGGCTCAATGGATAGAGCGTCGGCTTGAGGACTGAAGGGACCCAGGTTCAATTCCGGTCAAGGGCATGTACCTTGGTTGCGGGCATATCCCCAGTGGGGGGTGTGCAAGAGGCAGCTGATAGATGACTCTCTCTCATCAATGTTTCTAACTCTCTATCCCTCTTTCTTCCTCTCTGTACAAAATCAATAAAATATATTTTAAAAAAATAAAAATCAATGGGGGAGGGAGGAAAGAAATATCCTCTGGAGAGGATTTTAAAATTAATTAATTAATTAATTTCTAATGATGGAATCTATGCAGCTTCACTTAAAAACTGAAACAAAAAAATAAAGAAAATGAAATCATCCATTATCTAACCACCAAAAGAAAAGCACATCATTTATACTGCAAGGCATTTCTTCCCATCTAGACACATCCAGGTAGCTGAGAATCACACTGAAAAATGTTTCCTGCTATTTTCACATATTATGCCGTGTTTTGTGTGCCTCTAAACTTCATAAAAATCATTATTGTTACATAATTCTCTTACATGGATGTACCATTTCCTTTGAGTTCTTAAGTAGCAAATATTGGGTAACACCCTGTGCTTAGCTTAGCTTATATACTTAATAAAATCAAACCTGAAGATTACGGAGAAAAAGAAAAAGATAAATTTAGGCCATGCTTCCAAGCACTTGCCAAAAGATGATCACTGCAATTACCTTGCACCTGGTCTCTCGACTGCAGCAGCCCTTACCGCCATCCACAGCAGCCAGAGGGATGCTCTTTACTCCAAATTAGATTACATCACTGCTCTGCCCTAATCCGTCCTTGGCTCCCTCTTTCAGAATAAAAGCAATCCCTCTGAGTGACTGAAAAGCACTGCAGACCTTGCCCTTCCCCTGCCCTTCCTTCAGGTCTATCTCTGTCCCCTTGCCAATGCCACTGAAGCTCCAACTTCAAATCAACCTCACGTCCACTCTGATTAACACTTACTGCTTTTATCTAACATAAGACATAATGCACATATTATTTCTTTTGCGTGCCACCTTTCTCAGTTTCCTGCAAACACCGTGAAGGCAGGGACTCTCACAGGCATCCAACCGATTAGAAGCCTTAGTCTCACTAGCCTGAGGATGCTGCTACAGGGCTCAGAGCAGGATTTCTTGAAACAAGTGATACTCTGGGTAATAACTGTTTGTCACAGCGCCAGTCCTGCACACTATGGGATGTTTAGCAGCATCCCTGGCTTCTACCCAACAGAAGCCAGAAGTGCCCTGCCCCAGTCATGACAATCAGAACTGTTTCCAGACATTAGCAAACGTCCTGGGGGACAAAATCACCCCCAGCTGAGAACCACTGGCCTAGAGAAATAAGGCAAACTCTGGGAGGACGTTGTTGGCCCCATTCTCAGTAATACCAATCATACCTATAATAAAATCAAACACAAGCCGAAGCCCGTGTGGCTCAGTGGTAGAGTGTCGACTGAAAGGTCCCAGGTTCGATTCTGGTCAAGGGCATGTACATTGGTTGCGGGCATATCCCCGGTAGGGGGTGTGCAAAAGGCAGCTGTTTCTCTCTCATCGACATTCCTAGCTCGCTCTCTCTCTCTCTCTCTCTCTCTCTCTCTCTCTCTCTCTCTCCCTCTCTGTAAAAAATCAATAAAAATATAAAATCAAACACAAGCCCTAGTCAGCTTGGCTCAGTGGATAGAGTGTCAGCCAAGGGGACATGCCTGGATTGTGGGCTCAATCCCCAGTTGGGGTGTGCAGGAGGTAGCCTATCAGTGATTCTCTCTCATCATTGATGTTTCTATCTCTCTCTCCTTTTCCCTTCCTCTCTGAAATCAATAAAGAAATATATATATTTAAAAACACACAAAAACAAACACGAGTCCACAGGAGAGTGAAGAAACCTGCCCAGGTGCACTGGAGCCAGAACTAGCATGGCACACCACCTCCTTGCTAGCTGCCTGACAACGAGATTATCAAATCTCTGCAGGTAGAAACAGGCATTTTTTGTTTGGGAAACAAGGAAAGGGGCTCTGAGGGCCTCTGCACTGTGCTCCCAAGATGCCCTCTACTACTAGCAGGGACTCAAATAGCATTATCTCATCAAAATGTTGATGAGATGCCACAGAAACTTAACTCTTGTTTATATCAATTAGCCTGTGGTAAAACTGGTTTCGTTAGCGTCCATCATTTCACTTAAAGTCATAGAACCTATTGACGATGTTAAATGAAGACCTACTGTACATCGCACATTGTATGGTACCTGCTGTCACTCACAGTACCCACCTCCCAACTGTTTGCATATCAGGGACAGGGCTAAGCTCTGAGAGTCAACCCTGTAACTTCAACATCTAGTGTGGCAGCCGACCCAAAGCAGGTGCTTGGATACATACTAGAAGCAGAACATGCCTTACCAGTGTCCTGGCGGAACTGGGTCCAGCTGGGGAGGTCGATGATGTAAGGGGCCAGCGAGGGGTCAGCTTGGCCTAAGGGGATGCTATGGCCCATCCCATAGCGCTGGCCCTTCTGCTGGGCAAACTGCTGCTCGATGTAGTTACAGACAGTGGCACTGTAGGGGTGCCAGGTGCCCATCTCATCCTGCCACTCCCACACGACCACTGCCACAGGGCTGGTGTACACCTGAGACAAGGAAGAGCTTGGGGCCATGGCCATCTTCCCCAGGCTCTCTCTGCTTTCCCAAATGGCTTCAGACCACTCTGGGCTGGCGTCTCCGGCTCATTGCCCAGTGTTTCCAGCAGACCTGTAAACAGGACAAACAAGCAGTTACCAATACACACAATGCCAGAGACAGCCTCAATGCAGAGAGAAAAAAAAAACATCTTTTCCACAGTCACTTTTTCCCCTAATTTCTTAAGGCATCTTGAATCAAGTACCCAACCCTGTCCTTTGCTCAGGCAGCCAGGAAGAATTCAGTCAATCTAGCAGCCTACCTACCTCTGCATTGTCGGGGAGATACAGTGAGGAGAATTTCAGGTGCTGATCATCAGCCCAGCTTCTGTCTTTTTACCAACAATTTCTCTCTGACCCAGTACTAAATGTATCCTTTTATACTGTATGTGTTTTCATGAATCACTCCAAACCCCCAATGGGCTGAGGTTATCATGACCCCTTATACCTGTGTGAGGATGCTGTGGTTTTTTCCATGCTACAGATGGGAAAAGAAAACGGTCTCAAAAGAAAAACCAGGGCTCTAGGACACCAGGAGCTCAATGGCAGAGCTGAGACGCACAGCATGGGTCCTAGCTCCACTGAGTCTGCAGGCTGCTCCAAGGAGGCATCATTAACCATGAAGGATGTCCTTGAAAAACATTAAAATCTCCTGGCTGCTGAAGCCTGGTCTCTGCACTCCACTCCCTGTGCCCGGCCTCACTGACCAGTGGGTGAGGTCCAGAGAGTTTACACCCATCTTCTAAGACGTTCTTTCCCAAGTCACTCCAGCCCACCTTCTTCCCTTGGACACTCTATTTATCCTTCGGGCCCAGCCTGCACTCAGGGAGTCTTTCCCAAGCCACCCAGTACATGAACTTCTTCACAGCACCGGCCAATGTCCTGTGCCCATATACATGTATGGCTATGATGTTGTTCTGTGTCTTTCTCCCCCCTTTCTCCCCACCAAAAGCAATCTGGTGAGTCTGTCCTGTCCACAGCCATATCACCAGCCCCAGCAAAGGCCTTGTCACACAGTGTTATATACATGTTAATTCAAAACACAGCTGAATGGAAGGGGATGATGGTGCTATGCACCTGCAGCTGTTTGAAGGAAAAAATCGGTGAATGCACTAGATCATGGCGGTCCCTCCCCCCCATCCCCGAGTGTGTGAGGAACAGGACCAACATTTAGTAGCAAACGTGAAATGTGCTTGTGACATTTAAGCCTAACAGACCAACAGGGTGCTTTTTCTTCTACTTTATGGACAGGAACCCAAAGCTCAAAGAGATCAAGGTCTTATTGAGGGTCACACATATACTGCTAAGTGTCAGCTCTGACACCCATTTTCTTAGAGAAGAAAGATTAGCTTGAACTCTACTTTGGGCTCCACTTATAGGCCCCACTTAGAGACAGAAAAGGAGGAAGAGAGAGAGGAACCCGCATCTCAAGTCTGTTATAGTATGCTCATGCAGGCCTGATGCCAGCAGGGTTCCCAGTTATACCATCTACTCTGATTCCCATACAAATCACTTAAGTACAGACATTGAAATTTATCCCCATTTTGCAGATGAGAAAACTGAGGCCCAGTCAGTTGCTGTGACTTGCTTATATGGTAGTAATAAGGTTGGGACCCTGGGCTTTTGCTGACATCCCTAATATTGCACTACACCAGCAAGGTTTCAGTAAGAAGGCCAAGACCACCACCCCACAAGGAAGGTAGATCTGGAGCAGCACATGAAAAGCAATAGGCATGGGCTCCGGTGTCAACATGCTGCTGACCGACGCTAATCAGGTATCATCCTCAATTCTTCTAGCTTGCTTTATTTTTCTTTCATTTGGAAATGAAGATACCAACATCTATTCTAGGTGCTTTTCATGGGGATTAAAGCATAGATGTGTACAGAGGACGCAGCAAAGCACCAAGGACACAGCAGGTATCAGCAAATATTGGCCTCCCTCCCATTCCCTGCTCCCGTCAACCCCAGTACCTCCCCAACCCTCAAGTCTGGGTGAGGAGTGGCAGCCTGGGCAGCACTGAGCCACAAAGCAGGAGAACACAGGTGATGAGTCAGACCTGCAATAACTGAGCACACCTGTGAGTGCCAAGGCTGCCACTGAGCTGCCAACTGCTCCAACGAAAGGACACATCCCGCACTGGAGCATTGGGCCTGGGATGCCCTTGGGATAGCAGGCTGGCTTATTAGCTCAGTGCCTGTAATTAGAAGTCTCTGGAACCACATCCAGTACAAATCCCAGGACCACTTTCAGAGGCAATTACTCCTAAATCCAGACTTCCCTGGCAACTCCTGGCAGGCATCATTCACCTCTCAGGCAGCAGAAGCCTCCTATAGAACAGCACACATAGTATATCCACAGATTCCCAGATGAACCAACTCGTAGGACTTTGCCAAACAGCCTAAGAAATACAGTTGAGAACTTCAGCTAAATCTTTTCATCAAAGTGTTGTCTCCACAGACCGGGACCCACCACATCCAGGCCCTGTGTAGGTACTGGAGACCTAGAGATGAAACAGTCATGGCACACAGCCCTCTGTGCTCAGCTGCTGTCCCCACTCATTTCAAGGCCTCCACCTTATGTCTAGTCATATTAAATTCTAGCAAATGCCAGAACATTCAGAGCTATTTCCACCTCCCAGGCATTGATCCTGCTGGTGCATGTGTCTAGACTTCTGTCCTCTTTCCACCTAAGCATCAAGCAAATCTGTCCATCCTTCTAACTCAGCCACAGCACCCTCCTCCTGAGCCCTCTGATCTCCACCTTCATCAGTGTCTTCACACACATTCCACTTATGATTGGCTCAGTGTCTATCTCCCCACTGGAACAGGAACTCCAAGGCAGACTTAGCGCTGACCCAACGCTGCGGCTGCAGTTCTTCAATGTCCAATATCCCAGAGGGTCTGATACACAGGCTGAAGGTGAACCTTCAGCTGCAGGGGCCAGGTAGTTGAGGCACTGACCAGAAATGCCCACGGGCGTTCAACTTGAGCACAGCAATTATGCGCATACAGCAGTCCTGTCAATGCACCCATTCTGTACAACTACCTCAGCCATTGGGGAGCTACTGTTCAAAAAACCCAATTTGTTTCAGCTCCTAATGACAGGGCCATTTAGTGTTCTTAATTATGAAAATTATTATTATTACTGGCCACGAAAGAAATCCTCAATCTGGAAGCAATCTAAACCCCTTAAAATATTGAAATTCCTAAATAAATTATGGTACATCCTAATGATGGAATATAAGTCTTGAAAACTGTTTTTACAAAATGCTTATGGATCTAAGATAATGCTCACAACAAATAAAAAATACAGGCTATATAAGTGGACACACTATGTTCTCAGGCAGCGGGTATGTCATTTATTGAGCACCTACTAGTGGCACATACTCTGCTTGGTGCTTTTGTCATCCAGTTCTCTCAACCCTCAATCACCCTTGAAAATAGAAATTATTTCCATTTTGCACACAAGGGAACTGAAGCCAAAAAGAAATTAAGAATTTACCCAAGGTCAGGCGGCCAGTCTGCGACACCATAAAGCCCATTTTCTTTCTACCTTATATAAAACAATTTGTAAAGGCCGGGAGGAACCACTCTAAAATATTAACAGCAATGATGGAATTGTAGGATTTCTTTTGCCTGTTCCTGCACTTGCAAATGTCTTACAGTGGGCATATTACTTTTTATGATCAAACAAAAAAACTTTTTTAATATCAACAGCTGTGACCACAAAAAAAAAAAAAAAAAAAAAGCTACCATCCTGCTTTCCCTTACTATTCTATTGTGGAATTTAGCTGCAAATCCCTGTCCACAGCACTGCAACCAATGAATACATAAATAAATGGAACAAATTGATGTCTCTCTCTCTCTCCCCCTTCCTCTCTAGAATCAATCAATAAATAAAACATTTTTAATCCAGATTTCCAGCTTTTTGAAAACCAGAAAAGTTGGCAGCATTTGCAGGCCTGACCCAGATTCATTATTCATCCAGAAACAACTTGCTAGTACACACTCTCCAGGTTACCACAGTTACCATGACTCCCCTTGGCAGGCGTCAGCCAACTTTTCCTATAAAAGGTCAGAAACTACTTATTTTGTGCTTTTCAGAACAAAGGGTGTCTGTTGCAACTATGCAACCCTGGTATTGTAATGTAAAAACAGCCATAGACGATGTGTAAACTAACTGGAGTGATTGTGTCCCAATAAAATTTTTTTCCCTTTTTATTGAGTTTACTGGAGTGACACTGGTTTACAAAATTATACAGGTTTCAGGTACACGATTCCAATACAACTTTATTAACAAAAACAGGCAGTGGGCCAAATTTGACTCATGGGCCATGGTGTGTTGACCTCTCCCCTACCATCTACCCAACATCTATCACTGTGTTCCACTATCGTATAAATGAGAAATACTTCTCTGAGCCATTCTTTCTAAAATAGGAGAGTGCCTATGTCCCTGGCTAGCTACCCCAAGGACATGCCCTTCCCTCTGCAGACATGTTGGTCTCTGCCCAACATCTGATGATGAAACACAGCATCCAATAGCACAGCAGGCAGCATGTAGTCAGCACCAATCCTAGAAACCCCAATTGCTTCCCACCAGGCATTAACACCTTTCCCTGTGTAAGGAAATCAGGTTCTGCCCTCCCTCTCTACACTCCTCCTGGACCCTCTTATTTTTTTTTCTTTCCCCTCTTATCTTTTATAACGCCATGCACACAGATCACCCCAATCTTTTTTCAGATGAGCCCTCTGCTTCAGCCATCAGAAACTTGAGGGAGGACCCAGAAGAGGCCAGGCTGTTCCATGCCCTTCGACCCCTCTGAGAGAATGAATACCCTACCTGTCCACCTACTCCTCTCTTAATTTCCAGCTTGAGACTCTACACTGTGAAATCATCCCCACAGCTGCTCCTGCCACACAGGGACAACTGGTCACTCCTAACAATCAAGGTCCAGGTAACATCTGAGTGCAATTATCTACCTGTC